CAAGAAACAGAATAAAGTACATAAATAGACCAACACATATATAGTCAATTATTTACAACAACGGTGCCAATATAATTCCATAAAGCAAGGAGAATCTTTCCAATAAATGCTGTGGGAAAAAATGAACATTCAAATGCAAAATAAATGAACTTTGACCACCTCACACACCACTTTTTTTTTTAAATCTCAAAATAGATCATATACCTAAATATAAAACTTAAAACCTTGAAATTTCTAGAAGAAAGCATAGGAGAAAATCTTAGATTAGGCAAAGATTTTTTTTTTAGGTAGAATACAAAATACATAAATTGTAACAGAAAAGAAATTGATAAAATTAAAAAATTCTGCTCTCCCAAAGATATGGCTAAGAAAATCAAAAGACAACACATATTTGCAAAATATATATCTGATAAAAGACTTGTATGTATAACATATAAAGAATTTTTACAATTCAATAAGAATAACCCAATTTTTTAAATGGAGAAAAGATCTGAACAGATACTTTACCAAAGAAGATATACAGATGGCAAATAAACACATGAAAAGATGCTCAACATCATTAGTAATTAAGGAAATGCAGATTAAAACCACAGTGAGATATCACCACATACCTACTAGAATGGCCAAAACTTTTAAAAATAGATAATACAAGCAGTGGGAAGGCTGTAAAGTAACTGGAACCCTTGTCCATTGCTCATGGAAATGCATAATGGTACAGCCATCTTAAAAAAAAATCTTAGTGATATCTTACAAAGTTAAACATATACTTAATATACAACCCAGCAGTCCTACTCCTGGGTATTGTCCCAAGAGAAATTAAAATATATGTCCAATCAAAGATCTGTAAGTGAATCTGTGAGTATGAGTTCAAAGCACTTTGATTTGTAATAACCAAAAACTGGACACCCAAATGTCCATCAACTGGTGAATGGATAAATTATAGTACTCCATGTAATGGAATATTATTTAGCAATAAAAAGGAATGAACTCCTGATACATGCAACAATGTGGATGAAACTCAAAGGTATTATGCGAAGAGAAACAAGGCAAGCTCAAAAGGCTATATATGGCATGAGTCCATTTATATGACATTCTGGAAAAGACAAAAGTACATAGACAGAAATCAGAATTAGTTGCCATGGGCTGGGGGTGGAAGAACGGGTTTGACTACAAACAGTACAAAGGAACTTTTTGGAGTCATTATAATATTCTATATTTTTATTAGAATGGTGGTTATATGACTATATGCATTTGTCAACATTTATCAAATTTCATCCCTAAAAAGAGTGAATTTTACCATGTATAAATTATTATACCTCATATATCTGAATTTAAGAGAAAATAATCTGGGATGTTAATAATAAGGGGAAGATATATAAGTATCAGGGCAGGGGTACATGAGGAATCTCTATATCTTTCCCTCAATTTTGCTGTGAACCTACAACTGCTCAAAAAATATAAAAGCTTAAATCTAAAAAGAAGTAAAGGTATTGGAAATGAATCTATTAATGAGATGAATGGGATGTTATGTTTTAATTAAAGGAGATTTTGATAATTAAAAAGAAAAGAAAATCCTGTTCATCTGCCACCAAAACCTGAAAATATGCCCCTGGAAGGCAGTTTAGTATAAGGAAAAAGCACACACAGATTTTGGAGTAGAACAGAACTTGGTTCCAACCCCAGCCCTGCAATTACTAGCTCTGTAACTGGGCAAGTAACTTAACCTAGGTATGAACAGTACTGCTCTATTATCTTGATCATTTAATGACAACATAAAATCTGATAATCCTCAAAGCAATAGTTCCCCTCGTCCACCCCATTCCTCAAACCCACAATGGGAATCCCCCTCATTAACTTAAGTGCCCAAACAATGGTGACAGGAATAGAGTTTGAGAAGCAGGTTGGACAGTCTAACCTTAAAACATTCAAGGATTAAAGTCAGGGGAACAATGAGGCAAGGAACAGCAATGTCTTTTTTTTTTTTTAATTTCTTCAAAAGATTCAAAGGATGTCCTGGTTCTAGTTGCCAACAGAAGGCTGTATGTGTCCGGCAATCTAAACATTTTCATTCTGAAAATAAATGGTTCCTAAGGAGTACAGGCGACCTGCCTCCTGAAGCAAAGGGCAGACTCTTCTCAGCTGTAGACTCAGTATCTGTGGGTGTGTGGGAGGAAGAGGGGTGGTGGCCTCAGCATGCCTAGTACAGGCTCAGACACAAATTTGGCTTTGATTTTTCAATCTGCCTTTTCAAAGGTATTGTGGCAAAAGCTAGATGTAGAGTCTAGAAAAGGAAAGGTCACTGGGTATGGTATCCATAAAAAGAAATTGGGCCAGCTCTGTGCCATTTCCTTAGCTCCAGAGTACAATCCCCAGGAAAAGATATCATTAACCTGACAACACAGTATGAGATCCTCAGTTTCCAAAGAGAAAAATCACAAGGACAGGCAACAAGGCCTGCTGAAAACCCAAGATGGAAAAAGCCTCCTCCATATAAAACAACAATGTACCTTAGAATCAATAATTTCAAGACACAAAGCTTGTGGAAATTCAGATCATAATGAAGGTGGTCTTCAAATAGATGGGAGAGAAGGAGATTATTTAATAAAATGACTGGGGGGCAACTTGCTCATGATTTTCAATACAAAGAAAGCTGTATTCCTACCCTCACTCCCTAAACCAAAATAAATTCTAAATGCATTAAGGATTCAAATGTAAAACAGAAATCATAGAAGTACCTAAAGAAAACATGGGAGTATTTTTTTTTAATTTCAGAGCAGGGGAAATATTTCCAAGCATGATGCAAAACCTAAGCTATAAAGCAAAAACTAGATCAATTTGACTAGTAAAACTGTTCTGGAATATTCAAGAAAATGTTGTAAGTTTAGAGGCAAACTACAAACTAAGGAAAAAATATTTTGAATACATACAAAGGCCTAGCCTCTTTAACATACAAAGAGCCCTTAAAATCCCTTGATAAAAAAATATGCAGTCCATTAAGAAAATGTGCAAAGGACATGAACAGAGAATTTTTTTAAAAAGAAAATACAAATGCCAATAATCATATGAAATCAAGATTAATCTCACAACTAAAAAAATGCAAATTAAAACACGATGCCAGCTTTTAAAAGATGTTTGACACAGAAATGTTTATAATATTAAAAAATGGAAGTAATTCCAAACCCATCAATAAAGGACAGTTAAATAAATAATGGTACATAAATATAATTAAATACCATGTACCTATTACAATTTAAATACTGATTTTACCTATATTAATAACATTTCAAACAGTCTATAGAATATGATTGAGTAGGAGAATGAAAGATTTTAATCTATGTAGCAAGATTCCATTTATCTAAAAGTATACATTTTTATCTATTTGTGAATACATGCAGAGACATGTCTGAAATAAATGTCCCCAAAATGACTGCAGTGATTGTCCCTGGGTAGAGGGATTTAAGTTGATTTTTAAATTTATTTCAAAATTGCAATATCCTTTTAATAATCTACAATGAGCACATATTCCTATAATTAAACAAAACTAAGTTATTTTCATTTTGAAAAATATGAAGAAGTTTTGGTGTGATATTTGAGCAAAATAAAACAAAAGATTTTGTTTTAATGCAGTAAGGAAAGTAGCCAGTCAGACCAAGGCCCTTGTCCTACGGCTGCCCCTTGTAGCCAGCACTAGGCACCAGGAGGTAGGCAGGTAGGTAATACTCTCAGGTTTACAAAGGTGAAGCAAGGTGCAGCATGGGTACAGAGAACAGGTTTGGATGGTGAGAAAGACTCAAGTCAAACACCGGTTCCCCCATATTAGCTGTGCTGTGTTGACTTTAGCCATATGATTTAACCTCTCTGGCCCTCAGTTTCCTCCTTGTAGAACTCGGATAACTGTTGTTAAGAGGATGACGTAAGACAGACACCTTCAGCTCACTGCTTAGCACATAATGAGCACTCAATAGATGTCAGTGCTTGTGTTACTATCTGGGACATTCTTAACCTTCATTCACACTACAACATTATATTCTCCATGATTCAGGCTCACAAAGCAGAGTAGAGAGAGGAACCACAGACCTTGGAGAATCCAAACATCTGGTCTTGGACAACATGCTTCTCTAGCGCTTCCTGGAAGCAGCAGGTGAGGAGCATGGCAGCCAGCCGGAAAGAAGAGGAGGACAAAGCGAGGGATAAATAATTCCCTGGTGCTGCCTACATTGCAGTTGATGAGCCAACATGACTCACTTCTCTCCTCCCACCCTTCCTCCTGGGTTGGCTGGAACCTTCCCACACACAGCCATATGTTAGGATCCTAGGAAGGCTACTCAAATGCCAAGCCAGAAAGGACGTTCGAGATCATGTAGTGCAGCATCTTTCATGCGGGTGAGGGTCCTGAGGACCAGAGAGTGGAGGAGACCAGCAGGGAGCCAGAGCTCCCAGTGTCCTGCACTGACTCTTAATCATGGGGTCCCCTCATCAGCTCATCCTTCCCTTCCCCTGGCTTTGCCCTCATAAGGTCTCAATCTCCTCCCCCATTTATTACCTGTCAGATTCCTCTGGCAGCCCTAATTGTCCTTTTTGGCTCTGCGGTGAAGGAAGGAACCAGACTAGAATTGTTCTGACTCAAGAATGGCCTAGAAAGAGGGCTGTTATGGCCATCACTAAGTCAAAACCCACAAAGCCATTCTGCTGCTTCCAAAAGCATTCTGCTGGCCCAAACTATGGTGTGAAACAAGAGAAGGGTAGAGGGAAGAGCTCTGAGGTACTCTCATTCCTCCCTGGTGACACTGGAAATTACCTCGAAACTCTTAAGAAAGTAAGAGCCCGGAAGAGAGAGGTACCAGCAGATTCAAGAGCAACCAGCAGACTCCAGCTCTTAGGTCGTAATGCAGTCAAGATGCAGGGCAGCCACAGGTGAGGAGAGACTTGGAGGCAGGAGTGAAAGGCCACTTTCCCTGGACATAGTCCTCACTCTTGGCAGTGACTGGGCTGGGGCTTACCTTGGGCAGACTGACGGGAGTCCTGGGCTTGGTCCTTGGATTCTTAATCAGGAGCCTCTGATCCAGAGGGAGCAGATGATATTTCATGGCTTCAATGAGGAAGTCCTTACAGGTATTGTTGTTCTTTATCAAAGCTTCTTCTTCAACTGTCTGGAGATAATAATGCACAAATGATCCAGGAGCAGGGCGTGGCCACATTTGCCGTGCTGCCACCCCAGGCTGACTCATTCTTCATTCCCATTCTCATTCATTCTCACACCACATCATCTCAGACCTCAAGAGGAAGGCCCACAGAGTTATAACTTGGTGGTCACCTCCTACATTTCAAGAGCAAGTTGATGAAACTCAGGCATCAAACAGACAGGGATGCAAATCCCAGCTCTACCACTTAACTCCTCTGATCCTCAGTTTTCTCACCTATAAAATGGGCATATTGAAGTTACCCACAACCTCACTTCATTTATTTTGAAGCTTAAATAAGATTATGTAAGACAAAGATTATGTAAAACACAGATGTATGTAAGATTATGTACTGCATGGTGAATGTAATTAATACCATTAAATTATACACTTAAAATGGTTACAATGGGTCCTGGCTGGGTAGCTTAGTTGGCTAGAGCACTGGCCTGATACACGAAGGTTGTGCGTTCAATACTTGGTCAGGGTACATACAAGAATCAACTAATGAGTGCATGAACAAGTGGAACAATAAATCGATATATCTCTCTCTAATCAATAATTTTTTAATGGTTAAACTGATTAATTTTATGTTATATATCACAATAAAATTATTTTAGAGATATAGCGTGTTACATACTTAGTACAATATTTTTAAGTATTTAATAAAAGCCTAATAAATGTCAACTATTGAACAAAACCAAACAAGGAAAACACCTTCCCGAGAAGTCAGGCAGTGTTGGTGCTGGTCTGCCCAGGGCTTTCCCCTTCTCCTCCTCCTTCTCCTCCTTTATGACCAGCCATCTTCAGTGGGTTACACCAGTTTGAAGTTTCAAGGTCAAATGAGTGCTAATGAAATATCCTTTTTTCCCAGAGAGTTCTGAAAAGAGCCCTTCTGAAAAAGGGGGCCTGAAAGAGCCCTTTTTTAAAAATGGGGTCTTACACAACAGTTCTCATGTTCACTGCCTCTGACCCCTTCTTCTCCAGATCTAAACCTACTTTGCCATAATAGCCCAGGAAATATTTCCTAAAGTCTATGTTAAGTTTCAGTTGTGGACAGCTGATGGAAGTTGGGACTAGGGGTCTCTAAGGCCCCTTTAGCTTTCTCTGGAACCCAGGTCCACAGGCCTCCCTTCCTCCCTGTGGAAAAATGGCTGGAGGCCAAACATCCACTTCTACCTTTGACAAGTTTCCCATAGGAGAGTGGGAGGTTTGACTGGCACTAGGAGCTCTAACCAGTTCAGTCTCTCTGCTTAGGGGACCTTCTCTACAGAAAGGATATGCTGTCACCAGGTGGCAGTGGTGCCATTTAAAGTGAAAAATTCAGGGCTCAGCACCAGGGAAGAGGGCTGAGGTTCAGAGATTCAGAGGGCATTTCCCTGACCCTTTAGGCCTATGGACTGCAGGGTCATGAGCTGAGGACTTGACAAGGGCTTGTAAGGACAGTGTCTCAGCTAGACTCACTAATTACTATTGCAGGCGTTATAGACTATCTCATTCGATCCCCAAACAATCTTCTACAGGCAGGTGCAATTTTTACCAGGTAAGAGCACCGAGGTATAGAAAGGTTGAGTATTTGGCCAGTGTTAGATGGCTGAGAAGGGACAGAGCTCAGCTGATGGGCTGCTGAGCCTCCTCTTATCTTTCTTCACTCTTTCCCTTCCTTCCAGAGACTTGTCAAGGACAGCTGAGGGCTGGCTTCCTGCCTCCGTGTCTTGTTTTGTTCATATATTTAAGCTTTAAACTCTGCCTGCTTGCGAGAGTATATAATGTTCTTTACTGTACAAATAAAGTCATGAAATGGATAAACAGAAGGGAGAGCATTAAAGGTGGCAGCCTGCTTCATGCAAGGTGTGTACGTTAGAGCCAGACAGGACTGGGTTTGAATCCTGACCCGCTTGTGACTCCAGATAAAGCCCAGCCGCCATAAGCCCCGGGGGGCAAATTTATAGTCTCTGCTCACAGGGTCATGACAAGGATTGAATGAGGAAACACATGGCACCATGTTTTCAGAGGAGATGGATGCAACATGCATTCCAGGCACCCGGGAGGGGCTGGTTTGTATAGTCCCAAATTGTCCCAAATTGGGCTCCAAGCGGCCTAAAACTAAGGCAAAAAGGGAACAAAGCAACATTATGGAAATGATCCTTCTTATTTGGTCCTCTACAATAAAAGCAGCTAACTTTTATTGAACATTTATTTGGCCCCACTCCATGCTAAACATCTAACTTACATACTTACAACTCTTTTGGTCCCCACAACAACACTATTATACTCTATTATACCCTATTATAATTCCCCTTCTATGGAAGAAGAAATTGAGGCTTTAAGAGGTTAACTAAAAACTCCATGCTAGCAAGTAAAGTAGAGCAGGAACTAAAACCTAAGTGTCTTATTCTCAAACCAATGTTTTTATGCCTTACACTACCACACCTCATACTTAACCCAATAGGTTGTGCCCTCATCCCATGCAGAAGACCCAGAAAACTCCACCATTCCATACAACCAGGGTTGCCCACTGCTACATGAGAGGCTTGGGTAGGCAGGGAACAGCTTGGTTCTTCATACAGGACTTACCTGGACAAGGTAATCCCTTGGGAGAAGAGGGAGGCGGACATGTTCCATCAGCTTTGCCATGTGCTCTAAACGGGTTTCTTTCTCATAATTGATCCATGAAATCACAGCTTCAAATACCTATGAAGAAAATTAACACAGATAATTTTACCAAAGAGACAACAGTTTTCAAACAGCTTTCAGATGACTTCCTCAACCTGAGAAAAGAAAAAAAAAAAAGTTAAAGTCATCCACAAACATGTTTAACTTAAAGTTCAATATTTAAAATAAAACAAAAATAGAAAGTCTTTGCTTACTAGCTGATATGAGTGACCACACACGTTATGATAAATCTGCTATCCCAAATGTAGAATCGTCAAGGTTCATTGCAAAATAAAAATCAGTTCTAGTAACAAGGAAGATGGGGACAGACTCACAGATGGAGAGCAGGATGACAGCTAGTGAGGCGGGAGCACGTGAAGGGGTGGAGGGATTGAGTGAAAAGTAAAAAGGACTTGTGGACGTGGACAGCAGTGTGGTAGGTGCTGGCGGAGAGAGGTATAAGGGGACTAAATGGTAATGGAAAAAATACAATAAAGATTAAATCAATAAAAAATAAAAATATACTTTAAAAAACCATACAAAAAACTCCATTTCAGTATTATTTAAGAGTAGAAATACAGAGCAGTAACTCTGAACAAATGTGATAAAGACCATGCAGAGGACCAGAAGCCCTGGGGGCTTGTTGCCTTCCCGCTCACACACTGCTGTGATCTCTCCAGTTTTGCTAAAGCAGAGTAAATAAAATAGGAACACCCTCTGCCAAAAGTTGGTGGTAATGGTGAATGTGACACTGAATGACAGAGAATTTCTGACACTGAATGACAAAAATTTCTTCTTGGGTTTAATCTCTCTTTTGAGGAGAGGTTTCATCCCTACACAAATCAAAACTGGGCTTGGAACCAAAAAGAAGAATCTATGGTTTGGGTGTTTGCCTTACTCAAGGATAAGTCCAAATTCAAACTCTGCACCACCATATACACACAGCCAGATAAAATTCAATGTTGGTAAGGCTGTGGGGAAACCGCACTGTTTGTGGAAACTAAATTAATGTGGCTTCTTAAGGGGAAGGAAAAATTTGACGATACCAATCAAAAATTTAAATGTGCATACTCTCTGACCAAAAAATAATACTTCGAAAGATCTAGCCTACAAAAATACTCACAAAAGCGGTACAGGAATGTGTTCCGAGATGTTTGCTGCACTTTTTTTTTTTTTTAACAAGATAAAGGAAACAACCCAAAGTCCACTGGTGGAGAAATTATTAAAGTAGTATCCATACCATGGGATATTTTCAGCTGTCAAAAGAATAAAACAAAACACCACATGCCAGAAAGCATGGAAGTGCTCAAGGGTTAAAGGGACATGATAGATGGACACAGGCAGAGCCTAATAGATGGGGCTTTCATTGTCAACATTTGGGGCAATTGAAACATCAAAGAGAATAATGAAATCAGATTAGTGCTGCGTGGGCAGGAAGGTGACCAGGGTGATGACTTGGAAGGGGCCAAAGGAAACTTTGTTCTAAACTTTGACAGGGTGGCAGTTACATGGGCATACGCATTTGTCAAAGCTAATCAAACTACACACTTAATACTACACATATCACAGTGTGTAAATCTTACCTCAACTTTAAAATATTCTTAGTTAGAAGAAAACAAGAGTAATGGATGAATAAAAAAAATATCCATGAGTCCATAAGAGTACTAAAAACAAAAAAAAAATGTGGGAAGGGCTCTTCTTTACAGAAAAATGCCTGCTAATAAAAGTAGAAGAAATGATAGAATTAGAAAAACATCATTTTGCAATCACCAGTGTAATATCTGATTCAGCAAAGATCATCCACAGATGCTGAAGTCCATTGGGTGAAAAGTTGTTGGGGAACAAGATATAGTCACAGTTCTCAAAGTATCACATCGAAGATTATTTATTAATTACATGGGGAGAGGGGAATAGAACCCCAAATGGGGAGATCTGACAGATAACACCTTTAACAAGAGATCAAAGTTACCACTACCAATAGTAGGACAAACAAATTACATTCCTCATTGTGATTTAATGGGAAGGACACAGTATCACCTATGTAGTTTAACCTAAAACTTATAGCAAGGAAGCAATAAGACAACTCCGTATTTGGAACATTCTACAAGACAGCTGGCCTGAATTTTTCAAAAGTGTTAATATTATGAAGGGGGTACAGGGAAATAGTTCTACATGGAGGGGATTTAGAGACAGGAGAACTAAATGTAGTGCATGACACTTAACTGGATCATAGACTTAAAAGAAACAGTCATTTAAAGGACTTTTTTGAGACTATTAGGAATTTTGAATACCCACTATACATTAAATAATATTATCGCATCGATGGTAAGTTTCGTTAGTATGGTAATAGTTTGACGGCTAGAAAAGAGAATTTCCTTGTTCTTAGGAGGTGCATGCTAAAGTACTTAGGACTGAAGTGTCATGATGTTTGCAATTTATTGTCAAATGGTACAGCAAAATAGATTAAATATGTACAGAGAGAAAAAGAAAGCAAAGGAAACAAAACGTTAACTGGTGAATTTAGGTAAAGAGCATATGAATGTTCATTCTTTCAAACTTTACCATAGGTTTGAAATTTCTCAAAATAGAAAGAGGGGAAAAGAAATGAAATTCTAAGGGAAAATACTACAACAAAATTTACAATGTGGCATAAAGTTGAAATGAAAACTATATTTCCCCAGGCGGTAGGGCTCTTTTTAATTTTTTTAACCTAACTATATTTTTTGTGTGTACTGATATGCTAATGATGCTTTGTCTTTAAAATGCTTGGGCCTATTTCCCAAATACATATTTAAGTCAGGCTGCGTATACTTGAAATGATCAAGGAATCCATCAGAAAGGAAAGGGAGAGAAGAGAATAGAATGGAACAGGAGGAGCAGTATATAAGTAAAGTTTGCTCCCAGATCTGTATAAAATAACCTATATATGCAAAATATATGCAGATACACACTGTGGAAATCCTCCTTGTCTAGTTCATTTTTTAAAATTATTAACTCTAATGGAGCAATATCTCCTCACCCCCACAGCAGCATTATGTTATGAATAATTGTGTTTCTTCAACTAGCCCTTAACATCTATGAGAACAGAGACTTTGCCCTATTTGCTGGCACATAATACACATACAAATACTTCATCAATGAATGAATGGACAGATGAGCTCAGAATGTAAGGAGGCAGCATAACCTGCCCAGGCTGGAGCAGAGGGCAGGGCTGGGAAGGTAGGGGCTGGAATCTTGGTGGAGAGGGCAAAGCCAGGCCACAGACCAAAGGATGCTGGAGAAATCCAGTATTGCTGGGTTATGCGGTGGGCAGCCACAGCCCTATTCTGCTTTGTGCTAGGGTTGTCTACATTTCCTTCCACTCCCCTTTAACAGACTGTGAGCTTTTGCAGGATGAGAAGTGTGCCTCCTCTGTCTCTGCACCTCCTGCCACCCAGTACTCTGCCAGGCACAGAGTAGGTGGCTGGTTGAAAGTGTTGCTAAAGAATGAGCTATAGCCCTGGCCAGATAGCTGTGCTGGTTAGAGCATCATCCCGATACACCAGGGTTGTGGGTTCAATCCCTGGTCAGGGCACATACAAAAATCAAACAATGAATAAATCAGTGGAAAAACAAGCTGATCTCTCTCTCTCTCTCTCTCTCTCTCTCTCTCTCTCTCTCTCTCTCATCAAATACATTTTTTAAAAAATTTTTAAAGAATGCGCTGTAAGTCCTTGAGTAGGTGGCATTTAATGATCACACCAGCTTAGTCTCTGTTATAAAAGTTGAAAAGCAAGCTGAGTCTAATGAAGTCGATATTTAACCTTATCTTTATTTTTTGCTTGACTTGCCGAACTGGTTCCACTTAGCTGCACTGTTTACCTACTCAGCTGTGAAAGCTACAGCACTAGGCAACACTGATGACCTTCTCAGCAGCTAGAGGCGGCCACATTTTTTTTTTTTTTCATTTAGACTTCGTGCTTGAAAAATAAACAAGCAAATAAACTTCCAACTAGCATTAGTCTTCAATGTGCCTAAAATCATTCCCAACAGCCCCTCCCATGAAGGGACTGAGCAGGCAAGGGGGCAACAAGTAACAGCAGCCGATATTCACCAAGTGCTGAGTCCTGCACCCCATTCTCCAGAGACACCATGTTCCTGGATTCTCCTGAGAGTCCAATGAGCAGATACTCCTGCCCCTTATTAAGTGACTCGACCAAATCCAGAGCCAGAAAGCAGCAGGACTAGGGTCCACACATACCCAAGTCCAGGACCCACTGTTCTCAGCTGCCTCTCAAACATCTATAGTGGTTGGCAGACTAAAGCCAAAAGGCCACATTTAGCCTGCCACTTATTTTGTAAATAAAATTTTATTGGAACACAGCCACACTCAGTCGTTTATGCACTGTTTGTGGCTGCTTTTGCACTATAACAGCAGAGTTGAATTGAGACTCTGGTCCACAAGGTCTAAAATACTTACTATGGGGCCCTGTATAGGAAAAGTATGTCAACCCCTGGTCTATAAAATCTAAGCAGAAGCCCTGGCCAGGTAGCTCAGTTAGTTGGAGCATTGTCCTGATATGCCAAGGTTGCAGGTTTGATCCCAGGTCAGGGCACATATAAGACATATGAGAATCAACCAATGAATGTATAAAATAAGTGAAACAAGAAATTGATTCTTTCTTTCTCTCCTCCCTCCTTCCTTCTCTCTCTCTAAAATCAATTTCTAAAAAAAAAAATCTAAGCAGAGAGACTGTGTCTTCAGTCATGAAATAGGGTACTTGATGAAAATACTTTCAACGGGCCCTATGATAAAATAATCAGCCGCCACAAGGTGCTTAGGGTTTCACTTTTAAACAAAGAAATAGCATAATTTCCTCATTGCTCTATATTCAAAACCAGTTTATTAAGTGCTACAAGGTTGCTAAGTGGAAATAGATGGAGAAAACTGGATTTTGCCAACCTCTGCACACTATACTTCCAATATAAGCACAAGCCTTGGCCAGAGAGCAATAGATGAACCCCATCTTCTAGCCCATCCCTCTAGCCATACAGGCAGC